CCTGGGGGGGGTCCCGGGGGGGTGGCGGGGGTCCCGCTGACCCCGTGCCCCTCCCCCAGGAGGTGGAGCTGTACAAAACCAGTCACAAACTGGGAATCACCGTGTGCTACCGCACGGACGGCGAGGAGGACCCCGGCATCTACGTGGGGGAGGTCAGGGGGCTCAGACTGGGGAGGGGTCCCCAAAACAGCCCAAAAATACCCCAAAAAGTCATAAAATGTACCCCAAAACATCATAAAAAATACCCCAAAAAATCATAAAATATACCCCAAAGATCATAAAAAAATACCCCAAAAAATTCTAAAAATATCCCACAAAAATCCTCTAAAAATCATTTAAAATACCCCTAAAAAGTCATAAAATATACCCCAAAACATCATAAAAAATACCCCCAAAAAATCCTAAAAATGTCCCAGAAAAATCCTAAAAAATACCCCCAAAAATACCCTTAAAAATCCTAAAAAATTCCCAAAAAATAATAAAAAATACCCCCAAAAATTCTAAAAATATCCCCCAAAAAATCCTAAAAAATACCCCAAAAATCCTAAAAATTACCCCCCCAAAATCCTAAAATATCCCCCTAAAAATCCTAATAAAATATCAAAAAAAAAATCCTAAAACCTACCCCCAAAAATCCTTTATATCCCAACAATATCCCCCAAAAAATCCTAAAAAATACCCCAAAAATCCTAAAAATTACCCCCCCAAAATCCTAAAATATCCCCCTAAAAATCCTAATAAAATATCAAAAAAAAATCCTAAAAACTACCCCCAAAAATCCTTTAATATCCCAACAAATCCTAAAAAAAAATCTCCAAAAAATCCTAAAATTCCCAAAATATCCCCGTAAAAGTCCTAATAAAATCTCTAAAAAATCCTGAAAAAAAAATCTCAAAAAATCCCCCCAAAAATCCTAATAAACCATCCCCAAAAATTAAAAAAAAAATAAAAAGCCCCCCCAAACCCCCCCCAAAAAGGGGCTTTGGGGCCTTCCTGGGGGGTTCATGGGAAGGCCCCCCCAGTGCTGGGGACCCCCCCGGAATTTTGGGGTCCCCCCAAATTTGGGGTTTTTGCCCCCCCAGGTGAACCCCAACAGCATCGCGGCCAAGGACGGGCGGATCCGGGAGGGAGACAGGATCGTGCAGGTGGGGGGTGGGCTTGGGATTTTGGGGGGGTTTGGGGCTGAATTTGGGGGATTTTGGGGAGGATTTGGGGCATTTTGGGGTGAATTTGGGGGGGGGGATTTTCGGGGAATATGGGGGATTTTTGGAAGGAATTTGGGGCATTTGGTGTGGTTTGGAGGGGATTTGGGGCATTTTGGGGCAATTTGGGGGATTTTAGGGGGGATTTGTGGGATATTTCAGGGATTTTGGGGGGGAATTGAGGGGATTTCGGGGGGGATTTGAGGCATTTGGGAGATTTTAGCGGGTGGATTTAGGGGACTTTTCATGAGATTTTCAGGAATTTTGGGGGGATTTGGGCCATTTTGAGAGGCAAACCCCTCAAAACCCTCCCCCAAACCCCCTTCCCCATCCCCTTAATGTGGGGAGGGGTCCCCGGGGGTCTCCCCGCCCGCTCTGAGCCCCCTCCCCACGCAGATCAACGGCGTGGAGATCCAGGACCGCGAGGAGGCCGTGGCCTTCCTGACGCGCGAGCAGCAGACCAACATCTCCCTGCTGCTGGCCCGGCCCGAGGGCCAGGTGGGGCTGGGGGCGCCCAGTTCGGGGAGGGGGCCCGGGGGGGTTTGGGGAGGGGTCCCGAGGGGGTTTGCGGAGCGGGCGGCGCGGGCCGCGCGGAGCTGGCGCGGCTGGAGGAGGAGCTGCGGCACCTGGAGTTCAAGTGCCGGCACCTGCTGCGGGCGCAGCAGCTGGAGCGGCTCCGCGAGCGGGGCCGCCGCGCCTGGCGCGACCCCCGCCCGGTGGGCGCGGGGGTCGAGGGCCCTTTGGCCGACATCGCCGAGGCTCCGGAGCGCGACAGCACCAGCGCCTACAACACGGGCGAGAGCTCCCGCAGCTCCCCGCTGCTGCTGCGGGGCGGCCTCGGAGCCGCGGCTCCGCTGCCCGCGGGCTCGGCCAAGGGGCCCCGCGGGAAGCGGCCCGGCCGGGACCGGCTGCTCAAGGCCCGCGCCATCAAAATCCTGGAGGAGCGCGGCGGCTCCACGGACGACGACGCGCGGAGCGAGCTGAAGACCGGGCGCTACTGGAGCCGCGAGCAGCGCAAGCAGCACCTGGCGCGGGCCCGCGAGCAGCGGCGGCGCCGGGAGCTGCTGCTCCAGGCGCGGCCCGAGCCCCCGGCCGGGCCCGGGGGAGCAGCGGGAGCGGCGGCGGAGCCCCCCCAGCACGGGCAGGGGTCGCGGCGGGGGCTGCGCAAGAGGAGCCGCCGCATCCTGGATAACTGGGTGACCATCCAGGAGATGATGCTGGCGCAGCACGGGGGGCGCCTGGAGCACCCCCTGCTCTCGGTCACCACCGTGTGACCCCCCCGGGGGGGCAAAGAAATTCCTCAAATCCCCCCCAAAATTCCTGCTACAAACCGCCCCTGCCCCGCCTCGCCCGGCGCTGCGCCCCCCGGGGGTCTCTGTGCTCCCCGGGGGTCTCTGTTCCCCCCCCCGGGGGTCTCTGACCCCTCCGGGGGGTCTCTGCCCCCCCAGGGGTCTCTGTCCCCCCGGGGGTCTCTGTGCCCTCCGGGGGTCTCTGACCCCTCCGGGGGTCTCTGTCCCCCTCTGGGGGTCTCTGTCCCCCCCGGGGGTGTCTCTGTGTCCCCCTTGTCCCCAACCCCTCCCCCCCAAGCACAAGGTGAGGGGGGGTCGCCCCCCCTTGTCCCCCCCCCGTTGTCGTGTCTGTGCCGTGCTTAGTTTGGGCTCATTTAGGGTTTTTCAGGGTTTTTTTACACTTTTGTCACCTCCTCTCCTCACCTCAGGGCTGGGAGGGTCCCAGGAGGCCAAACCAGCCCTGGACCCCCCCCCAAAATAAACCCTGGGGTGTTTCCCCTCCCCCCCCGCGTGTGCGCCCCTCCCCCACCTCTGTGTGTCTGTCGGGGGGAGGGGCCGCGGTTGGGAATGAAGGAAAAACAAGAAAAGCTCGTTTTTACTCATTTCACCCGAATTGTGCAGCCTCGTCTTTGGGGGGGGAATCGTGGGGATCCCCAAAAACGGGGGGGGGAGGGCAAAGGTTGGGACCCCCCCAAAAAAAACAGTCCCCCACCTCTGTGTGTCTGTCGGGGGGAGGGGCCGCGGTTGGGAATGAAGGAAAAACAAGAAAAGCTCGTTTTTACTCATTTCACCCGAATTGTGCAGCCTCGTGTTTGGGGGGGGATCGTGGGGATCCCCCCAAAAAACCCAGAAAATTTGGGGAGGCCCAAAAACCATTCCTGACTTCCTGGGATCCGCCCCGGGCAGGGGAAAAATGGGGAAAATTGGGGGAGAAAAAATGGATGAAAATTGGAATTGGGGGAGAAAAAATAGGCGGAAATGGGAATTGGGGGGTAAAAATGAGGGGAAAATGGGAAATGGAGGGGGGAAAGGGAAAAAAATATAATGTGGGTGAAAAATGGGGGAAAATGGGAATTGGGGGTAAAAATGGGGGGGAAATGGGAAATGGAGGGGGGAAAAGGGAAAAAATGTGGGTGAAAAATGGGAATTGGGGGGAAGAAATGGGACTTGGTGGGGAAAATCAGCAACAAAACCCAACCAAACTTTGGGAACCCCCCAAAAACCCCCAGACCCAAACCCTCGAGGACTCCCTGACTTTCTGTGACCCCCCAAAACCCAACAGGGACAAAACCCCAAACCCCCCAAAAAAGAGGCACCAGCGAAGGAACTTTTCAAAAGCTTTTATTCCACCCAGAGCCCCAAAACCCCCCGGGCTCCTCCCCAGCCTGGGTTCCCCATGAATTTTGGAGTCCCCATGGGTTTTGGGGCTCCCTCCCGGTGTATTTTTGGGCTCCCCCGTGTGTTTTTGGGGTTCCCCGTGTGTTTTGGGGCTCCCCCTGGTTATTTCTGGGGTTCCCCGGGTGTTTTGGGGCTCACCCCCAGGTGTTTTTGGGGTGTTTTGGTCTCCCCCAGCTGTTTTGGGGTTTTTTTTGGGGTTCCCCGTGTGTTTCTGGGGTTCCCCGGGTGTTTCTAGGCTTCCCCCAGGTGTTTTTGGGGTGTTTTGGGGCTCACCCCCGGGTGTTGTTCTGGAGCCTGAACGGGGTTAGGAAAAAAAGGAGGGGGGAAAAGGGAAAAAAAAAAAAGAGAATGTGGGTGAAAAACGGGGAAAAATGGGAATAGGGGGGAAGAAGTGGGACTTGGTGGGGAAAATCAGCAACAAAACCCAACCAAACTTTGGGAACCCCCCAAAAACCCCCAGACCCAAACCCTCGAGGACTCCCTGACTTTCTGTGACCCCCCAAAACCCAACAGGGACAAAACCCCAAACCCCCCAAAAAAGAGGCACCAGCGAAGGAACTTTTCAAAAGCTTTTATTCCACCCAGAGCCCCAAAACCCCCCGGGCTCCTCCCCAGCCTGGGTTCCCCATGAATTTTGGAGTCCCCATGGGTTTTGGGGCTCCCTCCTGGTGTATTTTTGGGGTTCCCCAGGTGTTTTTGGGGTTCCCCGTGTGTTTTGGAGCTCCCCCTGGTTATTTCTGGGGTTCCCAGGGTGTTTCTAGGCTTCCCCCAGGTGTTTTTGGGGTGTTTTGGTCTCCCCCAGCTGTTTTGGGGTTTTTTTTGGGGTTCCCCGTGTGTTTCTGGGGTTCCCCGGGTGTTTCTAGGCTTCCCCCAGGTGTTTTTGGGGTGTTTTGGGGCTCACCCCCGGGTGTTGTTGGGGTGCTCTGGGTGTTTTGGTCTCCCCCGGGTGTTTTGGGGTTGTTTTTGGGGTTCCCCGGGTGTTTGTTTTGGGGTTCAGGCGTGCAGCGCTCTCCAGCGGTCCAGGGGGCCCCTGCAGGGCACGTACTTGACGCCGCAGCCGTCGGGGATCAGGCGCTTCTGCGCCACCATCTCCTCGAAGGCGTCCGCGTTGAACTTGGTGAACCCCCACTTCTTGGAGATGTGGATCTGGGGACCCCAAAAATCCGTCAGGGGGACCCCAAAAACCCCAAAACCCAAAAACCTGGGGGTGTCCAGGTCCCCCCATCCCAGTGATTTTAAGGTTTTCAGCACCAGGAATTCCCCCCTTGACTGAAGCTTGGATTTTTTTGGGCGCCCCCCCCCCCCCTAATGAACCCCCCCTTCTTGGAGATGGGGATCTGGGGACCCCAAAAATCCGTCAGGGGGACCCCAAAAACCCCAAAACCCAAAAACCTGGGGGTGTCCAGGTCCCCCCATCCCAGTGATTTTAAGGTTTTCAGCACCAGGAATTCCCCCCTTGACTGCCCAGACCCATTTTGGGCACCCCTAGACCCATCTGGCACCCCCAGACCCATTTGGCACCCCCAGACTCATTTACGTATCCCCCTCAGACCCATTCTGGCTGCCCCAGACCCAATCTGGGAGCCCCCAGCCCCATTTTGAGAGCCCCCAGCCCCATTTGGGGAGCCCCCAGCCCCATTTCTGTGCCCCCAGCCCCATTTGGGCCGGTACCTTCTGCCTGCCGGGGAACTTGAACTTGGCCCTGCGCAGCGCCTCCACCACGTGCTCCTTGTTCTGCGCCTTGGTGCGGATGGACATGATCACCTGGCCGATGTGCACGCGCGCCACCGTGCCCTGCGGCTTCCCGAAGGCGCCGCGCATGCCGGTCTGCAGCCTGGAGAGACCCCAGACCCAATTAGAGACCCCAGACCCAATTAGAGACCCACACACACACAGACCCCAGTCACAGCTGCACGCGCGCCACCGTGCCCTGCGGCTTCCCGAAGGCACCGCGCATGCCGGTCTGGAGCCTGGGGGGGATTGGAGACCCCAGACCCAATTACAGACCCCAGACCCAATTACAGACCCAATTACAGGGTCAGTTACACACACACACACAGACCCCAGCCCCAGCCACCGTGCCCTGCGGCTTCCCGAAGGCGCCGCGCATCCCTGTCTGGAGCCTGCAGGGACCCCAGACCCAATTAGAGTCCCCAGACCCAATTACAGACCCCAGACCCAATTACAGACCCCAGACCCAATTACACACCCAATTACAGGGTCAGTTACACACCCACACGCAGACCCCAGACCCACTCACAGGTGCATGTGCGCCACCATGCCCCCCCCAGGACATTTTGGGTTTTGCCCCCCCCCGGGGGATCTCGGGGTGTTTTCTGTCCCCCCCCCCCAGGATAATTCTGG